GCAGGTCGTCTCAGGGGGGAGGAGTGCGCACCCCCTGCACCCTCCCCCTAGATCCACCCCTGCTCACAACGGTCAAAATGTAAAGATAACAGTGTGGAGAATATAAATGTTAATATTAGGGTTAAAAGGTTAGATTATTATTTCTAGGTTCTTGTTTATTCTTTCTCAGTTTTGTTCTCGATTTTCGATTTGTCCATCTTCTTCTCCGTTCTTAGAGTTTTACCTACTAGCTGCTTGAGGTGTTTGGCCATTTTTTCGTGCAAGGCTTACATCTGCGAGTGTTTTCTGATTACGGCAATTATCTCTAAGTTAAACACTAATACCTTCTTTTATCAAATAGTAAAGTAGTCGCGAGTTAAACGCGAGCGTTTTGATTGGTTCTCACTTGGTCGAGATTTTGTAATACGGACCCTTTACACGGAAGCAGCCATACGGCGTGTCTTTTCGTTCGCAAAAGCCGGTAAATCCCAAACATATAAGTATGTTCAAAAGCAATGTGATAAAATCCTACCAAACCTGGCTTGCTGGAGCCGTACTGGAAAATATTTGCATAAGGCCATTTTTGAATGGACCTCGCTACGCTCGGCCTGTTCATTGGGCCACGACCTCGGACTAACATTCCCCGGTGCGGCCCCTGCGCTCAGGTAGTGAGAAGTTAATGTTGTTTTGTCGCATTTTCATTCACCTTAATATTCTCAACTTCTACGTTTAAAAACACAAAGAAGCAAGCATATAAGCACAGAGCATCAAAGAAGCGCCGAAATCAAATCAGAAATTAAGTTCGAGAAAAGTATAGCAGAAGCACGACCTCTGAATCACTTCTTTGAATTAATTTCAAACTTAAAAAAGGAACAGCTCGCTAACATGACACAGCCTTAGAATGAGTGAGAACAAACTGTATACCTGGTGACACAGGTCTCCCACCTGTTAAACCAAACAAAATGGGTAGCGATACCAGCAAGGCGTAAGAACATTTCATTCTGATCATAGATTCAACACGCAGCTTTTTTACAGTCTTTATGGGGCTGATAAATAATGATATCTACCGCGGGATGGATAATTCATATATAAACCCCAACACCACACCCGTGATGTTGTCATACATTCACTTAAATGGTTCACTGGGTGATATATATTCATGTCGTGTTTCGGTCATTAGCTCCTCCCAAAATTTCCGGCCTGAGGCGAAGAAATTTTTCTCTCTGCGATGGCTTAAGATTATCGGCCGAAAGTGTTTCCGCTAGTAGCAGTGGTGTATGTTTTACAACCAAATTGCCATAGTGTTAACTTATGTTGGTATGAAAAAGACGGTTGATCGAGAACTTTTATTGAAACTTAAATTCGCTAACTTCCTCAAAGCTGAAGTACCCTCAGTACGAACTGTTTGTTGATCCCTGTAACTTCGATACAGCCGCTAGATGAACTGCTGTGACACTGATGTTTAAAAAGCGAGGACTGTTGTAAATAAATCTGTCAAACTTGAATTGCGATTTCACACTTCATGTGATGCCTTCGCAAAACCACGTTTTGTTTTTTTTATGGGGGGGGGGGGGGGGCAAAAGGGGCCAAACGCTATGCGAGTGCGAGGGGAAAAGAGGAGAGAGGTTTTTTTTGTTTTCGCGCTCTCCGCTCATGCATGACTCTTACTTCGCGCCCACCTTGTGCTGGCCTGCATTCAATGAAAAACGCCAAAAGCAATAAGTTTATTCTGGAGGCCATGAAAAATGTTTTCGTGTAAGAGTGCGAAGGGACACACTGAGCCGGATATGATATAAATTTTGTTAACAACATATGATCTGTCTAAGTTCCTCAGTGTTTATTTACAGGTTTACAAAAGGAACCAAATGACGTTTGATAGACTACATGCAATTCCAAATCTTCCTTTTCTAGCAATGTGTAAAGCAATTGTTAAATGAAAGATGTTTTGTTGCCGGTAAATCTTGCCATTGTTACCTAAATAAGCTTTTGTTAGGCTATTGATGTATACATGTAGCCAGTCTGGTAACAGAGACACGTTTCTTTAAAAATTCATCATCTGTTTCAAAACGCGCATGCTTATCGAAGCCTGCATGGAATTACGAAGCCTGAATTAACAATAATCTTTCGTTCTAGGGAAGATAATTCTTTCAAAAAGGCGCTTTTGCCTTTTTTAACATTTCCTCGATTCAGCTGTGGAACAAATGAGTTGATATGAGAAAAGCAGGGCACTTTCTGTGTATTTTGTCCGTTATAATAGTTCTGGTCATACGTGGAACTTGGACAATAAGACACGATACTTTCTGGGGAGAAAAAGGTTTGTAATTATTTCTTTCTTTCGCCTTTCAGGGCCTCAAACAAACTTAAAAAGTGTTAATTTTGAAAAATAGAAAGTGACAGAGGAAGGTGACTTCATAAATTGGCTTGCATCACAATGGGGAACATGTCAACAGCGGGCAAATTTTAAACTCTGACTTTAAAATTTCGTCTTGAATCGATCGCCTAATTTTTTTTTAAACCGCAAATATTTATTGGCTTCTAACCACCCCTGTACCAGTTTGATTATGGAAAAAGTGTGTCTAAATTCGCTCGCATAATGGAGATTTAAACAAGGCCAAGTTACTTTGGTTTTAAATATTATTTGGGGTTTACACCGTTCCTTCACACCGTGTTGTCGATAACTTGTCGAAAACGATAGCTGTGATTTCTAATAACTTATTGTGTCGATACCTTGGTGGTACCGTAAGGTTTTTAAATATAAAAACCTAGGTTTTACATAGACACCCAAAAACATTCCTCAACAGTGAAAACTGAATGAGAACTCTCTCGCGATAGTCAAGTTCAGTTCAGGTTGGCTTACACTCTTCCAGTTCGGCGAAAGAAATGGTCAGCAAATATTATTCATAGCGTCAACTGTCAAAGAAAAAGAGCTATTTCTCGAGTTAGGACTCACAAACTAAATTTAAGAGAAAAAAACCTTCGAGTGTTAACGATAGAAGAACTTAGGACGCCATCATCTCTCTTGTTCACAAACAGAGGACCCCCGCTGAACACAATGTCGATGTCCCGCAGGCTTAGGGTTTGGTTGTTAATTTGTCGACGATTATTCTGTAATTATGGTTGTTTCACTAGAGATAATGGAGGTTTTTGAAAACAATCATCGTTTGTTCAGTGGCTCTGCTTCGTTAGAGATCACGGAGGTTTTTTTAAAAAAACCTTCGTTTGCAGAGCGACTCTCCTTTGCTAAGGCCCCTATTTTCTGATGTTTCACTATTTAGCATCGTAAAGACAAAATTGCAAGAGAATAGAATATAATAACAACAATAAAAAAAAAAATTAGAAAAATTAGATATTGGCCGTAGATGACAAAAAACAAGCGCGCTAGGATGATCCCATTCGGGGTGTGTTTCCTGTTGTTTCCAACGCGAAAAAAATCAATGTTCAATCGCTTTGAGAAGTGTGTAAATTTGAGTAACGTGAAAGAGCAACTCATTACGAAAAATTTTGAAATATCATTCTTCTTCTCTACTTGGGCGCGGCACCGTTTACTGGATGACATGCAATGCCCCCCCCTTCCTTTTTGAAAGTCGGGGGGAGCGTTGCGTGACATTGCAAAGAATGGTTCGAGAATGCTAGTGAGCACACGCACTCTTGAACGCAGATATTGCAATGGCTTTCAAAGACAAGTCAGTTAACCAAATCTAATCTTTTGTTCCTTACTGTTTCAGCGCCCCCTGGATGTCAGCCGTGTCCTAGGAGCGACGAAGGATTGTTTGACACTCCAATTTGTGGCAAGAATGGAATCGCTTACAAAAACTTCTGTTATCTCACTTTAAGGAACTGCATCGCCAAGATATTGAAGAAGGAATTGGTTTCCCCCTCTAGCGATCCGAAAACTTGTGGGTAAGATTGTCGGCGATGATGTGTTTGTTTACATATGCAACATATGCACACAATTCCTTCCTTTGAGAGACTTCGTTATCATTATTACCATTATCACCATTATATGTTATCATTATCATGATCACTATTGTTACCATTAAAATTGTCAAAATTATCATCGTTATCATCATCATTGTTATTATCACTAAACATGATTATTATCATAAACATTTGCATTAGCATCATCAACATTGTCAACATCATCATTATAATCGTTATTACTGATATCGTCGTCATTATCATAATCGTTTTTACTATCATAATTATTATCAATAGCATAAGTACTAGCCTTATCGTTATTACCATTATCATTATTAGCATTATTTCATCATTATTATCATTTCAATCAAAATTTTAATTATCATCAATATCATTAGCATTTTATCATTTTTAGCAGTATCGTTATTATCATCATTTTTATCATCATCAATATTATTATCACTATAATTTCTATCATTATAGGCGTCATCAGTATCGTAATTATGATCAGCCTCATTATCGTCTTCATTCTCATTGTCATTTTTTATCATCATCATCATTATCATTATTATTGTCATTATCATCGAGAACGCTATTTCTGGAGAATTCAAGTCTACTTCGTTTTTTTCTGCTTAAGTTTTTGATTTATCTTCGATCCATGAAGTGAAACCAAGTGGAAAAAATTTTTTTTTAAGAAAAGGCATTCATAACAAAGGCTCGATACATTCTTTGGTATAAGTTTGTAACTTGATAATTTTTATAAAAAATAATTTATTGTTTTGTATAATTCAGTTTAGAAATGAAAATTTTTGTTATTCAATCAATCGCTTAATTACCCGCATAGCGTCTTGTGAGCTAGAAAGCTTGTTAAAAATACGTACGCGATTTCCAGTTATTAACTAGACAGTTTGCTGCTGTACTTATTCAGTTTTCAAGAACTAAGAACTACCCTAAGACAAATAAATATTAGTATCGTCATTTTCGT